TTCAAAACAAACAAATAAACCGAACTGCTTCTTTCAGATTTATTTCCACTTGTTTTCTGTTCTTTGAGCTCCCCCCCCCCCAGAGGCACAGCGGAATGTCTGCGGACTTAGAACGCTAGAAACCGGGTTTCGATACCCGTGGTGGGCATAGCACAGATAGCCCATTGTATAGCTTTGTGCTTAATTTCAAACAAACACACTGTTCTTTTGATAATCATTAAATGTGTTCGTTTTTAGTAACAATCACTGCTTACATGGTACACAACATATTCATGTAGTTCAACCTTTAACAAGTTCATAGTATCTAATACCTGCTGCTTACAATATAAATTATTCTAACATATTATAATCCAATTTTTTTACTGCCTGCTTTACCTTCTACATTGCTACCCTTCAAATGTTTTTCTTTCTATCATATGTTCAATGATTTATACATACAGCGTAACAATCCTTTTTCATTCGATTATCTTTAGAAATTGTATTTTCGTTGTTTTTAGGGTCTACTAGAAATAAACTCCTTTGGTACCTCTATTGACATACTTTACAAAAATATCAGAAATAAAATTAATGCTGAAACCTTGATGCGGTCAATTACGTCGTTATTTTTGTTACTTCTGATGGTGCCTCCTCAACCTGAAGGCTTATAATGCCAAAAACTGGGTTTCGATACCGCGGTGAACACAGCATAGATAGCCTATTGTGTAGCTTAATTTGTCTTAACTACAAACAAACAAACTTCTAATCGTCTAATTCTGGGTTGTTCAACAACTGACTCATTAACCGTTAAGCAAAAATTCAAAATAAATGAATAACAAAAATTCACATCTTTAGCACCCTTGACTTGAGACTTAGTTGCTAAATGTTTGTTATCAAATATGGTATTACTGTGGCAACAAACAAATTTGATTAAGCCATGATTCTTTTTGTTTCATCGATAACAATAGTATTCGGTTCCTGAGACTACAATCAAAATATTATGTGAACTTAGCACAAAGTTGGACATCCCTGGTGTAGTTGAAGATTTCAATCATTAGCTTTCTATACATCACTTTATACACAGATTTCTCCATTCGTCACTGAATTAACGGTTCAGAATAAGAAGAAACATAAGGAAAGTTTACTGATATGTTTGGTAATTTCCAGGCTAGTAATAACGGGCATTTTTGTGCTAATTCCAGTATCTTCAAATAAAAAACAATCTGATATTACAGAGTATAGTTTCAGATTCTTTGTCGATTTTGTGCTACACTAAAAAAAAAAAAAATGCGTCAACTTTCTATGTCAATTCAGCTAAATGTTTGACATTTTTCTGCAGATGACGGTCTCATCAGCGAAGATGAGTTTCTGTCATGGATGGCCCGTCACCAAAACACAATGAAAGATGACGTCATGGAAGATCTCCTCGCCGCCTTCAGGGTTTTCGACAAAGACAAAAACGGTTTTATCAGTAGGGTAAGTTCTAAACTTAACCTGTAAATATTATTATTTTTCAACTGAAAATAGACCGTGTGTAACCTAGTAGATAACATGCCTGGATTGTCAATTTGAAAGATCAAAGTTCACGGCAGGTTGCACTTTGGAGACCGGGAGGTGCTATAAGAGTTCCCACTGTTTGGTCAGACAAGAGCAGCCAAAGAGTTGGTGTTTGATGCTGTTAACTAGCTGCCTTTCCTCTACTCTATCAGTTCAAAATCAGGGATGGCTAACTCTAATTGTCCTAAAATATCCAAAAACAAGCAACCCGTTTCTTCGAGTCAGAATAATAAGAGAGAAAGAGATTATAAAAAATGGCTAATTTATTCGGCAGTTTGTATGAATCATTATTATATTTTCCCTTGGTATGGTAAGAAAATATAAATACGTTTTAGATGACTTAATCTGAAAACGCGAAATTCTGAAACAAACAAGCAACTCATGTGAAAACTGTATCTTATACAGTTAGATTATATACAGGTTTTACTTCGTGCAGCGCTTGTTGTTCCAGAGAGGATGTAAGCTCTTAAATAGTTGAAACAATTAAATCTGAATAAAAAATAAATTTCGGGTGATCTATGGATATATTATACCAGAACATAATTCGAGCTGCTAACTGATTTCAGCACGGTTGTAACGGTAATTCTGTAGCATTAAGTTCAACAACTACCAAAGTTATTTGAAATTTTGGCTTAGTAACTAATATTAATTATTTCAATATTATTTGTTATTCTTCATTTTAAAAAGTATTGAAGTTTTGTCTTTAAATAGCCTCGTTTTTGCTATTTACGAATCTCTTCTTACGATGTGTTAACAACGAGTCTGTGAGTGAATCATACCAATGCTGTATTCTATCTCTAGATATCCGGTATTTCCTCAATTCTCTGGCAAAGTTCACAGCATATACACTATATTATGAGGAATCCAACACAAAAATTTAAAAGAATTGGAGAAGATACAATTATTTTCTGTTTTTGGTAGATGAAAATGTTTACTGAACTTTGCTTGAGGTCATGATGTTATTGTAATACAATATCTACAAAGGTTCTCGCGAAGCAAATAACCATCTGAAACTGTAAAGAATACCGGCAGATTTTCTGTAAAAACTGCACGTATCTCAAAGTTTACTTGAGGTAGTAAAATGCTCCACATTCTACCAGTTGTAAAGAAAGCAAGTCATAAAAACGGGCCAGAGAAAAATTATTTTTCGTGCTAATTAAAATGTCAAAAATTGGCCGAAAAGAAATATGTCTGTGGACAGCCATAACCAGAATTGTTAATTTTGGGAAGATAGAAAGCCACTACGACCATTGTAACCATAAAAAAGCCACCGCGAAAGACTTCTCGGATCTTGATCCCTATATTGTATTCCAACTTTTCCTGATTTCGTATAAATTTTCTTTTGTTACCAAAAAGTGCACAATTAATCCGGTTGACTTAGAAATTCGTTTTTAATTTGTTTTTGTCGTTACATGAACAGGATGAATTACGAGTTGCAATGGAGATGATTGGTGAACCAATGTCAGAAGTTCAACTCGACGAGATGATAAAAATTACGGACATAGACAACGACGGAAGAATAAATTATGAAGGTAATATTTATGTTTTAAATAATACATATGAAATTATCGAAATTACTTAATGTTCTTCTGAAATACAAGTGTTTGATTAACGTAATGAATTTATTTTTATTCTCCAGAATTTGTTCGAATCTTGCTGTAAGAAAACACAGCACTATGTGAACATCACCAGCACAGTTCCTTATTTTTTTACCGGACCTATATTCAATGGTAAACGTACTTTTTTGGAATAGCAATATTTTACACTGGAGAATCCTTTAACTCTGAGTTACCCACCACAATGTTATGAATGAAAAACATAAACTCCCAAAATGTAAAGGTGTGTATTTTGTGTTGTTTATTTATGTTAATGTCTACATTTTTTAATGACTTTTACGTGATCTCTGGCTTTTCCAATGGCTAAATTAGAATACTAGTGTCTTGCTCAAATTTTTTTCCTGTACTTTTGGGAATTTTTTCTATTTTGAAATTATATCCAGATACGTTTTAAACTTTCAGTTTCTTTTTTTTTCCGGTGTTGTGTGAATATTTTATGTTTAATTAGTAATTCAGATAGGTCTTTAGAGAAAAATGTAAATACCCGTTAGAAAAAAAAAGTTTTTGGATAAGAGTTCCATATTGAGATTCCCATTTTACTAAACTTTCATGTTATTATTAATATAGATTACTAGTTTGCGAAACGTACGATGCTTTCAGTCTACGTAAAAGGACGTGTTTCCTGTGTAATGTTTTGGTGCGAGTTATTGTTTATGAGTCAAAGTATTTTACTCTGCATGTATTCATAATTTACATTAAATACGGGATTGTTTTCATAGCTATTTTAAGGGGGAAACGTGGTCGTTTACCCCTTGCAGAAATAAATACATAAATAAATAAAGTAAGACGGACCTCGTGGTTTTACGATTTCAAGTTAGTTTTAAGTTATTTTTTCACATTTTTAAGGCTACTTAAGGACATCTCCACGTGGAACTCTGTCCCTTTCTTATATTACACAACTTAGTATCCATAAAATATGATTATGTTCAAAATATTACCTTATGGGTGAAAATCTTACCAATTAAAAGGAAGTAACCTGGGACTGGTAGCGAAATCTGTTGTGTACCCCAACAACCTATGATTTGGATAGTTTGTGTAACTTTTCTACTTGTTGGTTCACATTTACTTAAACTAGTTTAAAAAAAACTTATCGATTTCATGCAACGATTTCTTTAAATCTTTTTTTTTACACAAACCGTACAGCGTCGTCATACAAAACCTGTAGGGATTAACTACTAACCATACTTGGGTTAAAACGAAAGCATCCTAAGATATATTAGTTCTTAATTTACAATGGGAGTAGGTAAAAATTAGAAAAAACGTTCAATTATATTTTCTCTGAATATTGTGGTATTTGAACCGTATATTATATATATATACACTTTATAGTTTAATAATTTGTCGAGATATAATTTAATGGTATTTTCGGCCATGTAATATAGTGTATACAGTGATTTCATGAAAAATAAATCATAAATTTATATGATATAATACTGTAAACCAGTAGTTTTCAACCTTTGCTATCTTAAGTATAAAATATTTCATCGTACCGTCTTCCCCTGTCTGAATTGTATCTTAAACTGAATTACTAACAGCACTCACATCATAGGGCGATTGTTTCCTTAGTGCAAAGCTACACAATAAACTATCTACACTCTGTTTGCCGCGGGGGAAATCGAACCCCGGATTTAAGCATTATAAATCTGTAAAATTATCGTTGACACATCAGGATAACAGTGGAATACTTACATGTAGAAAAAATGTTACATTGCTCGTAGTTATTCTCAACTATTGTATGTTTATATTACTCATCCTTTTTCCATCCAGAAATGCAAATAGAAAATATACAGGTCAATAATCTACTCATCTCCTCTTCTTAATTATGGGACATCTTAAAATTTGAGTCAATCCGAGCGATCAGTTTATTTAGATGTTACAAGATATTTTGCGGCTCTCTTTTAGTGATAGCAGGTGCACGCTCTACAGAAGGGGAACTACTGTTGTAGTTGTGTTCAATGTGAATTTATAAATATATCTATATAAATGTTTAATTTTTTTACATTTATAGACCTAACAGTTTTAACAAAAACACACGTTTAAATAAAATAGTTTTAATAAATTTAAGTAATATTTCTTATTAAATGGTTAATAATTAAACAGGAAGCTTTTCGGGAGATGCAATCTAACATTTAACTTCATGAAGTTTTGGTACCTAAACAAATGCACTCAAAAATCTAATTTACTTTGAGGATTGTACCACTTAGTCACACACACGTCCATATTTATGAAAACATGAGGTCGTAAAATTGGTATAGTTTCCTAAGCAACTTCGGAATATTAAATTTGATAACCAGGAACCCATTTTTAGACAATAAATATTGCAGACGGCTTGAACTAGCAATGAATAAAATTTTATTACAGGTTTAACTCATGATGACGAAACGTTGTACGTTTGTTAAACTTGTAATAAAGTCTTCTTCATTACCAATCCAAGCCGTCTTCAATTTTTAACTTGAGAATATGTTTTGATATTAATATGCAGTGAAAACTAATAACTATTAATACCGAAAACGATGGAGCATATTGCTCCTTGAGTTTATACTTTAAAATTTAACTGAAGCATAAAAAACAGTCTATGAAATATAATACTACATTTTAAACATCATTAATTTTGAATGCTGATTGTACAATACCAAGAATGAAATGTTGGAAAAGTATTTGAACAAATCACTTATTTTTACAGTTTATCTAATATTTATTTGTGTTTATTTAATGACTTCAAGCTTTTGAAATCTGATTAAAAGTACTTAAAGAAATTTAAAATTTGGTTTCATTGTTTTTTACAAAAGTACATTTAGGTTTTTATTTTACAGTATTTACACGTTTCAGATTTCCGTTCACTGCTGTAGTAACTAAACAACTGAGAAACAGGGCAACCCTTTTTGTTCATTAGTTTTAAAGAATATTTACATACTGATTGAATGTATAAATTATATACATCAAGTGATCCAAATCCCTTAAAATATGCACAAAAACGCATTTTCGATGTATATAATGGTTATAATTTAGATTATAGTACTGTAGTTCTTGACATGGATTTATAGAATGTTTATGTTTGAGTTCATGTGATTTACTTGTAGTTAAGGTTATGTATTTATTTAATAAATTATGTCATGAAATAATAACTTCTTAAATACTGAAGGATTTGGAATAAAACATTTCCTGTAAATTAAAATGTAAAAAAAGCAACAATAAAGTTTAATACTGAAAGAGCACTTTTAATGTTTCGTATAACAATTCAACTTGATAATTAAATAACTTGAATAATCAGTAAACAAGTTAATGCCACATTTTACCACAAACAACAAATTTGTTTCAATGATCCACAACCACAGTGAAGCTATTATTATTAGTTGTACTGATTTGCACTTGAAGGAAAAAAATAACAACAACAAAAAACAAACAAACATGGCTTAGAGATCATTAACACTACAACGACGACTTCCTCAGACTGAAAATGATATCTTACTAGAGCTTAACAGTACCTGGACATTCAAAACCCTTGGTAAAAATAAAATTTTTCTTTTGTCATGAACTGAAAAACCAAAAAAAAGTTTAGGCCCATTATACGTCCTTACAAAAAGACAATGAACTCTTAAACACTAATAACCATAAAACTGTTCCTTAAATTGTTTAATAACAATTTTTCTTTAAGTAGGAAAACTTTATGGAGAAAATTTGAATTAACTGTTGATTTATATAATGTCTTGTTTAAAATTTGTTAATTTTGTACCAAAAAACATTTTTTTTAACATGTGAAAGCCTAATGTTTTTGCTTTAACCCCTTCTGTGATTTGCCCAAGATAATTCAAGTGCCCTCCATGTTTCAAAAATATTCTCACCATATTTTTAGTTACTTGCCTGAATTTATTCTTATAAATGACAATCAATGCTCTATAGATGGCACTAGAAATCTTATTTATGCTAATCTTTATCAGATTTATTCTGAATTATGTATCATAAACACTGGAAAAATTATTCCTATTCTTTACTGTAATTTTATTGAAATAATATGTATCGTGTATAAATCCAGATATATGATATTTATTTATCGAGTATATTTTGTGCATACATATAATAACAGATCATAAAAGAACTTTTGTTTCATTAATGCAAAAGTATAAGCTATCAAAAAGGGAAATAAAAACTTGACTTTTTTTTTTAGCTTATTTCCAAAAAAGCTTGACAAGGAATGGGTTAGTTCTGTAAAATTATTAAATTGTGTATGTTACTCAGGATCAGGAACAGATTACATTATTGATGGACAATTCCAAATAACAGTTAAAATCTGGCAACACAACTTTTAATGGTTCATACAAGCACTTCCTAATTATTACTATAAAATAACAATCACATGTATGTATCTTAATACCATAAAGATATTAATTATGAGTAAATCCAATCAAAAATATAAAATTCTGTACTTGAAATATGAGAAAATCCTTTTTTTGATTTTCATGTAAAACTAAAAATTATAGCAATTGAATGGCTTTATACATAGTTTCTTTATACTTTACCAAGATTTACACTGTTTTTATGCTAGCGTTTAAACGTTTTCAAGCTTTCAAGATAAGCAGCTAAGTTTTTTTGTGTAGAATCTTGCATAATAAACTGAACAACTTCATTTATTTCTTTCTGTTTTGTAGCTATTAGTTTCTCTGCAGTTTCTTCTCTTATCATAATTTTAGTCCTGTAGCGAGCTGTCCCTGTTACAAAAAATAAATTTAGTAAAAACATTTGTTAAATTCTAAATTAATTTTTTTACATATATAGTTTAAACATAACATCATATACATCACTTTGATGTTGTTTAGTTCATTACTGAGGTTTACAGAATATACTTAATAACAACAAGAATATGTTAGATGATTTTATCTACAACCATGATTTAAACTGCAATCTTCCTTTAACTAAAAATTACCTAATTATTTAAAGAAGCTAGAAACAGACTATTTAGATAGCCTCACATAAGGATAAACTTTTATAACATATATTCATACTAATTTTACTCTCTAACAACTTGCTCTAAGTTTTCCTGAATGTTTTTTATTAATCAGGAAAACACAAAAAGAATAGAGGAAAATCCATCCTATGCTTTAAAATTATAAATTTTATTCAATTTATTTCATATACAAACAATTTACAAAATTATAAATTCATAATAAACAGTAAATTTGGATTTCAAGAAATATGATTTAAATAGGCTTAGAAATGGTATGAATAAAAGTAGTAGGTTTTAACATTCAACAGAATTTTAAAGCATACAATAAAAGGGATATGATATAGAATTTATCCTCGTTTCTTAATCTAATCATAGTAAACATATGTACCAGGTACTTGAAGCCAGATTTTCAGTATGTTTTGTGCTTTCTGAATGGTATCTTCAACATTGGGTGATATCTCATCCACAAGTCCGAGTCGTAAAGCTTCCTCAACAGTAAACTGCTTACCAAGTTGAAGACTTAATTCTGCCTGACGCTGACCAAATGTGTTCACATAAATGTTTTTGAACCTAACCAAAAAAAAATGGCTGTACAACATGTTCCGAAATTATTTTCACTCACTTTAAAAAAATTCCTGTAGTAACTTATACTTCACCATCTTTCCAACAGAAGTATGAATTAAACCTAGAAAAGAAGTATAATTCTTTATAGAACAGAGACAATAAAAAAGAAGAAAAACTATATAAATTGGAACCTTTTCCTGAACCTTATGCTAACTTAATAAGAAATAGTCAAATAATTAACAAATTGAATAATTTATTAAATGATAAACAGATTGATGTACTTAACAAGGGGATGGGACTTGCTTACAAACCCAAATATTTTCGAAAAGATGACTTCATTACAGAAATGGAAACATGTTTGAGTGAAATTCAGGATATTAATAAAATTGATACCATTAGAGCTGAATGTAAAGAGTTAGTAATTCTAGAGTCAATTTAAAGGAAAATGAAATGTACAAGTCTTAAAGTTGTTAAATAACTTGGATACTGTAATTTGTAAAGTTGACAAAGGTGGTCAAATAGTGATCCAAAATAAAGAGGATTATAACAAGAAAGTTGAGGAGTTGTTGAACGAAGGTATATATATATAAAAAGATCAAAACAACCCTCTCAGTAGACTTCACCAAATGAATAAAGAAAAAGTTAAAGTATAAGTCTAATTCCACAAGAGAACAAATATTTGGTCCCAAGTAGTTTTGTAATAGTACGATTTTATGCTTTGCTAAAAATTTATAAAGTAGGAGATTTTTTATAGACTCACAGTATCAAATATAGGTTCATCCTTTTACAATGTAACTAAATTTTTACCATGCAAGTTTTCTTATCTTAGTGACAAAAACTTATATGATTAAAAATTCTATAGAATTTGTAGAAAAAGTAAATGAGATAAAACTAACTAATGATGATATACTTGTATCTTTTGAGATTGTATCATTAATCATGAAAGTACCAATTGATAAAGGTATTAATTGTTTTAAAAACAAGTTATGAGTGAATAATGTTCCAGTCATTGAGATTTTAGATATGATAAGTTTAACAAAAATCATGTGGAAAATTCATTTTTTCAATTTAATTTTTAAGATCTATAAACGGATTTTAGGCCTAGCTATGGGTTCTCCATTATCTCCCTTGTTGTGTGATATTTTCATGGATAGGTTGGAAATTAATGCTTTACAGAATGCTAAACTTAAACTAGAGATATGACCCAGGTATGTCAATAACACTTTTGTGGTGTGGTGGCATGGTAAAGAAAACTTATTCGTTTTTGCTAATTACTAAAATGAAACTGAAAAAAATAATTTAGAATTTTTGGACATATTAGTTAAGAAAAACAAAAATAAGTTAGAAAATATTATTTCTCCTAAACTTTTTTCTGTTATCATGCTGCCACACCAAAAATCACGTCATATAAGTTCACAAAAAAATATCAGCCTTTTTATTCATATATTTATGGGTCTTTAAAGTTGTTCTAAACCAGAAGATTTAAAAAATGAATATTATTAATTAAATATGTAGTGTTAGAAAGAGGTTTCTCATCAAATATTGTCAACTATTTGATTTTGCAAAATCAGTCAAATTGCCTTGGTTTTCAGCCTTGTAAGTGAAATCCTCAACAGCTTCAATTAAGGATGCTATATCTTTTTTCGAATATTTGGCATTTAGCCTTAAGTTTTGCAACATCCTTAAGGATAAGTTTCCTTTTCCGTGTTTTTTCATTTAGTTCAGCCATCTCCCTCTGTTGATCGAAGTGTTGGTTATATATCTGCCTACCATTTTGAGCAGCAGTAAACAGTTTCTTCGACAAAGGAACTTCCATAATACCTCCAACTGACTGCACATAATCATAGATTAACAGCTGACCAACAATGAAGACATCCTTCATGTTTTGAAGTATTAACCCTTCATTCACAGAAAAGCCCCTTTTAACAGTTGCTTGGCCATGAGAAAGCATAAAAGTGAGTTTGACAACATGCCATAAAGACTCATAATCTCTTATCAAGCTTATCTATTGGAGTTGCTTTCTCTGTGGCGATCAATATTTTCATATTTTCTGTTGCCCAAAAGTAAATATCAACATGCTTAGCTGATTTGATATTTTCTGTATTGCTTAAATCAATTTTCAACAATTTAAATGCAGTGTCTGCTTTGGAAAGCACATCATGTTTTATAACCCTTCTCAGAAGGTTTCTGATCATAGACTCAAGATCATAGCTGACAAAAGGCACTACAAGGTGGTCAGTCTGATATTTTGTCAGATCTGAAGAGAGTTTTTCAGATATTGAAACATAAAATGATAACTTTACTATGGAAAGGATATCATTTGTTGCAGATTTCACAGTATTAAATGCTTAACTTTTGGTACTGTGTAATAGTTTGATTTGGCTTCAACTGTTTTTACATATGTTTGGAAATTGTAAATAATTTCAATTGCCCTTTGTACATTCTCTACCCATCAAGTAGAACAAAATTTCAATGAATATGTATGAGACCCAGTAATTTTCTCAAAGCCTTCCTGTATGGCTGGATAATCTTTGAAAAGATGGTACACTGATTTAAGTATTGCTTCTAAATCTCAATCAGAGGCATTGAAAGCAGTACGAAGAGCCCCATGGATACTGTGGAGACCACAAGACCCAATGTTGAATCTAATTTCTCATGGAATGACCAGTTAACATTTGGACCATTCATCCCTATTTGCAAAAGATGACTAAGATTAAGCTCTTTTGTCAGCTGTAAAAAATGGCTTAAGAGATCATTTGCCCCCGTGTGGCTGAGAAATACAGAATCAAGAAATCATATGATCACAAGATTGTTTTCTGAGTCAAAGTACCTAAGGTACACACATCAAGTTGATCTCTTTGGTTTTTTTACCATTTAAGGATTCATCATACAAGAGCACAAATTCTGTATCTTTTCCAAACTTTTGATATAAATTTGGCTTTATTTATGGGACCAATCCAAAACAAGCCATATATGCACATTTTTTCTGTCCATAAGAGAACTTGGATGCAATTTTACTATTTGGGAACATCCTTTTAAACAGTTTATTTAAGTTTTCACAGCTTTTCTAACTGTACCAGCTAACAATGGTCTTCAGGACCCACAAAACCTCAGCTTTCCACTCATCTTCTTTTGAAACATATGAATCCAGTCTGCCCTGTAATGAATTAATTGCATAATGAGGTGCTGACACCTAGATGAAAAGAAGTGAATCATTCAAAGTCTAATTGCAAAATAACACAACTTTATTAAATAGTATTGTGTATTTAAATCAATGAAATTAGGTCCATTATCTTTAATATTAAAGATAACTTAGGAATATTATTCACTCACTTGCTGGACTATGGCATCATATTGATTTGTTGCAACAGTAGGCCTAACTGTCGATATTCTATCTAACGTTGGCCTAGATTCAGACGATATCAAACTGTGGATAGTCGGCGTGGCTGCTGTTTATGAGTGCAATTTATGTACATTATCCTCATGCTTCTTCTCCTTCATATAGATTATTATTATGGACTCGCCCATACTGCCAACATCTAATTTTTTATGGCACATATTGCAACTATCTTCTTGGCGATGTGCACCCATAACAAGCCATTCCTCATATTTGTCCTTAAGAAGCCATGCATTGTTAAATATACAGTTGCCCAGAATATTTTATGCAATTACACATTCAAGTCAATTACATAATTGCTTGAATGGCAAGGCTCAGATATCAACAGCCTCATTCAACCTTGTACCACTGAAGTAATCCAAATTGCTAGTTATGCATGCTCATCATTAAGAAAAAACATGAAGGGCCTGCCATCAGATATTACATGATGTAATCATCAAATAAACAAATTATGGAAAACCCTGACTTATAAAACTGGCAGGAGAAAATTTTCATTTTCCATGACTTTTCCAATACTCTGGGGTAAATTCTCATTTTTCCAAAACTTTCCAGGCCCTGGAAATTGCTACTGCAATTTTCCAAGACATTCCAAAACCCATACAAACCCTGTTAGTTAGGTAATTTCCATTAGACAACAGAGAAATTTTAATTAGTTTAGAAAAAAAAACTGTATTAAACTATATATATAGTGAAAGCTTACCAAATAAATAAAATTCTAAACCAAGAATACTCTGAAGTTAACTATACATTTATTTTGTAAATACTTGTTATTTGTTAGTTATTCTGCATTACATTTATCATTCTATACTCTATTATTTTCTCTACATTGCATATAACAAGCAAAAGTACCCGTCCCCAGTGATGGGAAAAGTTTAAGTTAATTTTTAAACTTAAATTATTTCATCGACTTCAATTAATTGTTGAGCTGAAATAGTCATGCTAAGATCCACAAAACAATAACATATGGTAAATCCATATTTTTATTCTATAAGTTATGCCACATTTTGAAATGTGAATGATAATGTGATTAATTCCCAACACTTTAGTGTAGAATATCCTGTAGAAAAGGTAGAAATAATTCTTTATATAATTTGATGTATTCTTTTCAAACTTTTAATTAATTTCTTTCTCAAAAATACCTGAAAATTAAAACTGATTTTCAATAAATTAAATAATCAGAATGTAAAATTTACTCAAATACTCACCATAGAGGTGCAACAATTCCCTGTAAATATAAAATTAAAAAAATTGTTAATTTCTCTAGAAAAAATAAAACTGATTGTAAAAACATATTTCATTAGCAGGACAAATGATAGTTACAATACTTTGATATCAAGAAATACTTTGATACCAAAAGTTATAACTAAATTATTTTTATACATGTCACAATATGAGGTTTGATACTGAAAATTACTTCATCCAGTTACAGGCTGTGATATACAATAAAGATTTTAACAACAGATCTGGTTGAGCCAGACAAACAAAACCTAAAGCTATAGCGAAATGACTGCTGAAGGTATTTAACAATTAGGAACAGTCAAAAGGAACCACATCTTCAGGCAGGATTGGCCTAATAGTTAACTTGCCAAAATGTGTTTTCTCGATTTGTGTCCACTCCACCAAAAAATATACTCTGCCTTTAGAGCTGTGGGTACATTGTAAGAGTGACAGTCAAATCTCACTTTTCAATTACAAAAGCCCACGAGTTAACAGTGGTTGGTGCTGACTGGCTGCCTTCTCTCAGGTCTATTACATCAAATTTAGGGATAACTAGTACTGATAGCTCTCAAGTAGTTTTGCATGAAATTAAACAACAATAATCCTTCATCCTCCAGCACTTATTTACTGTCAATTACTCCAAAAATGCAAGAACCTGCCTCAAATGAACAATACTTTCTCAGCTTTTCATCCACCCCTTTAATCAGGTGACAAATTATTTTCAACAGACTAGAACTTATATTTACACTTAAATGTGCAATGCAATGATAAAATAAACCAAATTACAAAATTAAAAATTAGATCTACCTTGTCGATAATTTGTTGGACCTAGTAGGCTATAACTTGATTTAAATATTTGTTTAAAAGCCATATATTTTGAAGAGAATTTCTAAAAAAAACTACCAATAAACTAAAAATTTGGTTTTGTCTATAAATTTATGCTCTTCTAAAGAGTAACATTTTATATACTCTTAATTTTTCCTTGTTTAATTTCAGTGAATTTGTTTTTTTTTGCTAACAAATATCTAATAGATGCAGTATCACTCATAAAAAAAAAGTTCATTGAATTATGTCTTCAAAAAGTGGCATGCCAATTTTTCAATTATTAAAAGCACAAATACAGCATGCTGTAACTTTAAGGTACAATGAACTATTTGCATTAGATATTTTCAAATACAAAATATAAATTTCAGAACAAAGTGAGGTTTATTTTTTATTTATTAACATGCAAAAATAAACAATCATTATTTAAACCACAATGTTTCCAACTTTAAAAATGTTCAGCATGTTGAGTTTACTCTGAGATCTTGACTGATCATACAACTAATACTTCTACTGTTATTAAAGGTTTGGACACCAGGAATCATAGATGGTCCATTAGAGTTATAAATTCATTTTTAGGGTCACTGAGCATTACATATGTAAGCATGAGGTGGTGGCTAATGGGTCATTGAAAATTTTTTAAGGTTGTTAAATTGCTTTTGTAGCCCTGTGCTTGTGGCTTTCACCTAAACTTTATGACTTGCTTTAAATATTTAAGATTATGTACCATTATGATTCTGTACAATATCTAGTGTCACAAACATCCTCCTTTAATTATTATGGTGTGAATTCCTTTTTCAAGCTGGCAAAGCATGATTATGATTAATTCATTTGTCTTTAGACATTAGTATTAAGCCTACTATACGTTTTAACGTTGCATTTTGTATCCCTTAGGGATTTTCAAGAATTAGAAGACTGTATGAAAAATAATATTCTAACCACACTATGTTCACCGTAGATTGAATTAATTATCTTCCTTTATGTCTGCTGATAGCACGGGCCTAATGAAAGATATACGTATAGCAATCTGGTCTCACGAGTTAATTGAACAGTAGTAATTTAGGCATCTTGCCACTTAAACTGCAATACAACGTTGATTTTAATATTTTTGTAGTTACAACAGAAGTGATAATTGTTGAAAGTAAAAAGTGCAAGAGCACTCAATATGACAGAATTAATTTACTATTCTCAGAAAATATACTGAGTGGTCTGAGTTGTTGGGCCTAGCAAATGCTCACCCTTACTTCCAGCAAGTATAATTTTGTGGGGAAAAAAATTAAGAAAAACTTAAAAAAGAGAGATAATAAAATCAAATGTCTTAATAACCAAATATAAAGATACAACAGATATTTTAAAAAATATAACAATAAATTATGTCACACTACAATAATATTACAATAATTTTGGAAAACGATTATATAAATCTTTAAACCTTTTGATGGAATTTTTGAGGCTAAGAGAAAAATCAAAAGACTTGTATTCTTACTCATATATGTAAACTCTTGTCAACAAATCATAAAATGTTTTGTAAATGGTCCAACTCTACCCTTAATATTCATTCTGATTTAAAATAAGATGAAACTTTACAAAAACACAACTAATGGTTAGATTATTTTTAGTTTCTTATGAAATTAAATAAAATGTAAGCATACCTTTTAGAGTAAATATCAGTAAAATACAAGCTGTTGAGTATCCATAATGATATTCTTTAAATTATGAAATGAGTAAAATTAATATTAATAAACAATAAGAAACTTTAACTTAACTCTCTGAATGTCAAAGTCATTACTTTTTTTAATTACATCCAGATATTTAAACTTGATAAAAACATATCTGCAGAAATAAGTACTTCAGTTTGATAAATGTCAATAAAATGTCTTCTATTAACATAACACCCAAAAACAATTTTACCAAATTAGTTTCATTCAATCCAATAGTAAAGGGTCCTTCTGTCATTATTCTGTAATCACAGCTAAGTGCAATTATACATCCACCAGCTGGGGAGTGACCCTAATAGAAGGATGAAATAAAATATTACACCAACAAGTAAAAACAATTTTTACAACTTTATTATTTTGCACTGTTTCTGGTCAAAATCCTGAAATCTGTAAATCCTTAAAATATATAGTTGTAGTATTCTCAGGTTAAACTGATTTCTGCCAAGAGTATTAGTTAGGTCCACTTTATAATGGAGAGGACAGGCAGAATAAATCACACAGTAATACTGGATTTAACTAAACTGACTTAGTTTAAGAGAAGAAATAAAAACATTAGACATAATGTGTAAATCAAAATTTAAACAATCTTTACTTATTACCAAGACCAAAACATAATGTGTGTTTACTTAATTTCTGGATGCCCAACATTTGTGTTTCACTGGACTCTTCCTTCAAAATATTCTCCCATTAACCAACTCACTTGAGATTTGGTGTAGTAATGTTTAAATTTAACATTTCTTACTTAATGGTACACATCAGATTTACAAACAGTAACTAGCACTACTCATCTGACTGGTGATTCTCATTCAACTTAAGGGAGATCAAGACCTTGAAATATCATCTAAAATACCACTGATGGATACTACAGTCAAAAGTTTTTTCAAATGTAACATTACAACAATACTCTACCCCACTGGAAACTTAAAAGGTGTTGTTGCACAATTGTAACAATACCTTGTTTAATGTGAAAATAACTGGCAAAACAATTATATTCCATCCAATAAATATAATTGTTCTTCCTTGATAATACTTATCAATATGAAAAACTATGTTTTAAGGAAGTCCCTCGAAATTTCTATGTGTCTCCTTTGTTTTGAAACAAGGGGACATGGTTCCCTTAAGCTGCAGAACCTAGGATCAAGGTAGCTTTATATTCATGAATTACAAAAATACCATTAAATCTGTATGACTTTCATAACTTTCTTTCATACAAATAACTCAAAAATACAAAAAATAAAACAAAATTCAAGACTTTATGCAGCTAACAGAAATAAAGTTTCATTTAAAGAGGCCAGCTAGTATTTAAGTTTTAGGTTTTTCTCTGTCATCTATTAAAATTGTAGGGTGGTGTAGATTTGAATCATGGGAGTATTTCTAGGAATAGAGAGATGGTGTTCACCAGCAAAATGTTTCACTCGTTTAAATTTGAAAAACATAAATATAGATAAATTAACAGTTGAACATGTCTTCTTCAAGAATAATAGCCTTTACCCCTGAAGTAGATTACAGGTCCATCTGTTAAAAGATTTATAATTTTATATGAATTACCAACCTTTTGGTCCAATGTGTTTTTTACTGTAATATACAGGCAAATTAATATTTTTTGGTACATGTGTATCTCTTATTACATATGCTTTTGGCTTCTGAAAAAGGTTTCTACCTAAAAATAAAGGTTTCCCAGAAATATAGGTTGTACTTTAGTCTCATTATGAGTTAAAATATTCAGTCAGCATTTTTGACTTTCAGAAATAACACAAAATTTACCTTACTCATCAGAAGGTGTAGTTTGTAAAATTACAGAACAAATTACATCATATCTATAAACTGTTTATATGATGACCCATTTTTCATGTTTTGTGTCAAACTAGTAAACATTACAATTAATTCACTACATTAAAATATCCAATAGCTTTTACAATAGGGTTAGCAGTCATATTTAAACATTTGAACATCACACTAAAGAGACAAAAATGAAAAGAAAGTGCCTACTGAAATGGCAGCCACTGTTACAAGTGGTGACATATAGAGCTTCAACCAAAAATCTTGTAATGCTCCCCAAAATTTTCGAAGTCGCACCTCAGTGGGTTGGAACATCTCCATTATGTCAAGTCCTGCAGAGAAGATCTTTGGAATGCCCTGATCATGAACAAAAAGACATAAATAAATATATATGCTTCACAAAGTTTAAAGCAGTTTTAAGCTAAACTTTTAAGCAACCTGAACTAAAATCACCAATGGTTAAAAAATAGCTAGAATACTTTAAAAGTGGGGAGATGTTTCAGTATCAATAAGTCTTCATCCTCTCTCAAGTTTCTCAAACAAATGGTTCATTTTATTTTTCATTGTGTTCTTCATGCTACCAAGTGTTAAGTTTCTGGGAGTAAAACCTATTCTGCAATACATTTTTGAATTTGTGTAAAATGTTCTAGTCACATCAACAGTAGTTTCAGAAACAAATGTAAAACTGGCTTCCAATTTGCAAGTCAATAGTCACATTTTCAAGAATTTTACAAAGTACCATGAAAATGCATCATACTAATTTTGTATATAGTCAACTTTTCAATACATAACACCTCATAAGATACAAGTTACAAAAATGTTAACACTTATGATGTTATCTTTATTAATGATAGCAAACTGGTTAAAGTTACAGGAAAATATTATTACAGTGATACAGTTTTTTATAAATATGTTTTAAAATTAAAGAAAAAATACTTTCTAAACACTGATGGACACTACAGTCAACATTTTTTCATAACATGTAACATTACAGCAATACCCTAACTGATAGTTTGTTTGGAAGATGCATTCTACCTTACCGATGCTATGATGAGTCCTCTACATGACTTGTCTTTCTCTAGCTCATCAATTGTGTTGTACAGATTTTGAAGGTACTCCAAGTTTAGACTATTAACAGGAGTTCTCTGAAGTTTCAAAATAGCTGTTATTGGGAATAATTATATATTTAATATGAAAAATTCCAAGAAAACATTTCTACTGAAAAGGTAAGTACATGTTGTATTTGATAAAACTTCTATTTGCAAGATTATCATAAACACTTATAAAACTCTTTACTGTTTCTATTTTCAACTTGTTTACTGATGAAATGGAAAAAATATTATGCAATATAAAATATCCTTAATTTAAAGTTAAGTCATAATTAGAGCTTTAAAAATAGTACACTCATGACTCCACTCACATTACAGATTAGGTTAAATCATGAATAATTATATGTACCATTACAGAAGTAAAAGTTAATTTGTGACTTTGAACACAAGAAGCACTGTTCAAAAAGTTTACAAAATGCTTCAGTGAAGTTGCACTCTTTCCAGTTCATATCTAAATATAAAAGTTTATATTAAAATTGTCAATCTGTGAGTGTTAGTCATGACAATGACACTGAAAGAGTGATTTGTTAAATGACAGCATAACAAGCTATACAAATTTTTAAAATATGTTCCGCGTCCATCACTAGCGTCAGAAATTTACATTATCATGATTATGTCATATAACGTTATAACATAAGTCCAGACATAGGCATAACAAAAACAAACTGATTAATTAAAGGAAGCAACAGAAAATGAGATGCTCTTTAATTACTCTTCAAGTTAAATGTACCTATCTGTTCTTCCCGTTGGACTGATAGATCAGCATGCTTATTCCCATCTCCAGCTTTTTGGGAAAGCTCACGTGATACTACCTGATGCGAATACAGATTATGTTTACTTTGTAGGCCTAAAACGTTTTGACTGAAGCTTGATATTGGTATCACAATATTATTTACGCCTACACATCTGTTAGTCTTAAAACTTAAACTTGATTTTATAAAGTTTTCATACATGAAGCGAAGAACGAGGCCTTGCTTACTTATACAGGACATTATATTTATTTTTCTCTGTAATGTTACAACTGGATAACAAACCAACCACACGTTATCGCGCAAATATTTGACAAACAACGAAGCGTCTCAGTTCAAAGTCTGGAAATGTTTATTATAGTCTTAGGATGCCAATAATAATGCAAACATATCAATTATATATATATATATATAA